TGTAAAAGAATATGCCATGTTTCAGCGCATTTGATTGGAAAGAATCCCTGTTGAAAAAAACAGTATATGCTGGTTAGGTATGTTTTGAAGCATGGCTACTGGTTTAAAATGGTCCTTAGCTGGTCATGAGCTGGTTTAAGCTGGTCATATGATGGTCCTAAGCTGGTCCTGAGCAGAAGCTAGTTGCTTAGGACCCGCTTAGGACCAGCTTAAACCAGCAGCCATGCTTCAAAACATACCTAACCAGCATATGCTGTTTTTTTCAACAGGGATGCGTGCACAGAGTTACTGTATATCTTCATGACTAGCACAGTCAAGTTTGCTTGTGCAGCCACTCACAGCTTTTTGTGGAACTGTAAGATGCCATATTTTGTTTATATATTTGTGACCCGTGCTGGCAAAATGAGTGTGAATGCGTACGGTCTAATATTGAGCTACAGACAAAAGAAGTGAACATTTCGGTTTTGGTCGAACTCTTTTCACAAAAATTAGTTCATTAAGCCTTCTTCTAGTGATCCAAATGCTTCAAATAGTAATTAAGCATCTAAAAGGATCTTTATTTGTACTTTTCTGAGAAGAGTACCTTTTTCTCTGTTCTCTTCTGGACGACTGCTGCTGCTTCTCACCACAAGTTGTAGGATATATCGTTGCAAAGCGCAGCATTCCAGCTTTATGAATAATCATAGCGAATTCTGTATGACATGAGTCTGAACCAGTAAAATATGATTTTCAAACCCATGCTGATGAAAACAAAACGATCGCGCTGACTGACATATGTGACCCTGGAGCACAAAACCAGTCATAAGGGCATTTTTTTAAAATTGAGATTTATACATCATCTGAAAGCTGAATAAATAAGCTTTCCATTGATGTATGGTTTGTTAGGATCGGATAATATTTGAAAATCTGGAATCAGAGGGTGCAAAAAAATCTAAATATTGAGAAAATCATCTTTAAAGTTGTTCAAATGAAGTTCTTAGCAATGCATATTACTAATCAAACATTACGTTTTGATATATTTACGGTAGGACATGTACTAAATATCTTCATGGAACATGATCTTTACTTAATATCCTAATGATTTTTGGTATAAAAGAGAAATGTATAATTGTGACCCATACAATGTATTGTTGGCTATTGCTACAAATATCCCCCAGCGACTTAACACTGCTTTTGTGCTGCAGGGTCACAGTATAGTATTCTTTATACTGTTTCATACTGTGCTTCTTCTAAGCAAACAAACACATTTAAGAAAGTCCTGATAACATGCAAATCATTTCAGACAAGACATAGTGTGGATCCAAAAAAAAAGAGAAATTAATAATTTTATCAAAATGTTATTGTTTTATTACATGCTTGCCAAAAAGAAAATGAGCTCTTCTTTTTTTCTCTATCGTAGTCTCCACAGGCTTTCTTTCCCTAACAACATTACCGAACACCTTTGAGAGTTAATATCATTATTCATTATTCCTTAATTTGTCTCCTGTCCTGCTGTGTGCGTCCAGGAAAATCTTGTTAAAAGATATGGATCATCTTAACAAATGTTCAATATTTAGACAAGATGAGTGGAAAATTTTAATAACCATGCTAACTAACCTAAAACTAAAGAGCTTTACCGTTGGGTGTATCTCTACAGGACGAGAAACAACTGTGACTATCAGCCTATCATTTCACATAGACACTTCAAGCAAAAGCTGCCCTAAATATTTTGCTATTTTAAAGATACCTTATTGATGTGTCTGTCACGTGAAAGCAAACAGCAGTTTGGTGTTTCTCGGGTATTACTTAGCTTAAGAACAAATAACAAACATTTTTAATGATGCTGTGAGAATCAGTGTTTGCCAAGAGGCTCAGTCTGGCTTCAGGAGAAAGGCTCAGGCACGTCTTGAGCAGAAGAGACAGGAGTAATAAAATATGCGCTACAGTTTCAATTTAATTACATTCAACAGGACACATAATTCATACTAACGAATGTTTGCCAGCTGTCACTGTTCACACTGAAAATGTGTTCTAAAATGTATAGAGTACTGAGTACATTGTCTACTGCAGATCTTGCTGTCGGAACTTTAATCCCTGTTAATAGAGTAATTATATTTAAGAAAAGAACTGGAGGAAAAGATGCAACGTTGCAGGTGATTCTGCTTTAGAACCTTCAGAAAACTTTAACTCTGACTTTGCTGACTCTATCGACATCAAACGGGTGTAGCTCAGGCATTTTTCATCCGATTCCAACAACATATCATTCTGAAGGTGTTTTAATGGAGAAAGATGTGATCATTGTGACTCATTTTGCCAGTACAGGTCACATATACTGTAGTTGTTTACAGTGTTGGGGGTAACGCATTACAAGTAATGCGAGTTACGTAATCAGATTACTGTATTGACCCGAATATAAGACGACCCTGATTATAAGACGACCCCTCTTTTCCCAGATGTACCTTTTGGAAAAAGGCTTTTTAAAAACCAAATCTTGTTTTTTCTCAGTAAAACACATTTTGTCTTCAATTATTTTCATATTGCATATTTTTCCTATTTTAATTTTTGTTTTGAAAGTATAGTAAAAACTGGTCAGATGTACCAACAATCACATTTAAAAAATATACACTTTTTGATATACCATTTAAGAAAAAAAAAAAATCCGAATTCTGAATTAGGACATTTAGGCTATCCGTCTAATAGTAGCCCACCACAATCTTATTAACAGTTGCCTCTCACCACAAGTTGTAGGATATATCGTTGCAAAGCGCAGCATTCCAGCTTTATGAATAATCATAGCGAATTCTGTATGACATGAGTCTGAACCAGTAAAATATGATTTTCAAACCCATGCTGATGAAAACAAAACGATCGCGCTGACTGACATATGTGACCCTGGAGCACAAAACCAGTCATAAGGGCATTTTTTTAAAATTGATCATTGTGAAGATTTATACATCATCTGAAAGCTGAATAAATAAGCTTTCCATTGATGTATGGTTTGTTAGGATCGGATAATATTTGAAAATCTGGAATCAGAGGGTGCAAAAAAATCTAAATATTGAGAAAATCATCTTTAAAGTTGTTCAAATGAAGTTCTTAGCAATGCATATTACTAATCAAACATTACGTTTTGATATATTTACGGTAGGACATGTACTAAATATCTTCATGGAACATGATCTTTACTTAATATCCTAATGATTTTTGGTATAAAAGAGAAATGTATAATTGTGACCCATACAATGTATTGTTGGCTATTGCTACAAATATCCCCCAGCGACTCAACACTGCTTTTGTGCTGCAGGGTCACAGTATAGTATTCTTTATACTGTTTCATACTGTGCTTCTTCTAAGCAAACAAACACATTTAAGAAAGTCCTGATAACATGCAAATCATTTCAGACAAGACATAGTGTGGATCCAAAAAAAAAGAGAAATTAATAATTTTATCAAAATGTTATTGTTTTATTACATGCTTGCCAAAAAGAAAATGAGCTCTTCTTTTTTTCTCTATCGTAGTCTCCACAGGCTTTCTTTCCCTAACAACATTACCGAATTCATTTTTGTTGCAATATCATTATTCATTATTCCTTAATTTGTCTCCTGTCCTGTTGTGTGCGTCCAGGAAAATCTTGTTAAAAGATATGGATCATCTTAACAAATGTTCAATATTTAGACAAGATGAGTGGAAAATTTTAATAACCATGCTAACTAACCTAAAACTAAAGAGCTTTACCGTTGGGTGTATCTCTACAGGACGAGAAACAACTGTGACTATCAGCCTATCATTTCACATAGACACTTCAAGCAAAAGCTGCCCTAAATATTTTGCTATTTTAAAGATACCTTATTGATGTGTCTGTCACGTGAAAGCAAACAGCAGTTTGGTGTTTCTCGGGTATTACTTAGCTTAAGAACAAATAACAAACATTTTTAATGATGCTGTGAGAATCAGTGTTTGCCAAGAGGCTCAGTCTGGCTTCAGGAGAAAGGCTCAGGCACGTCTTGAGCAGAAGAGACAGGAGTAATAAAATATGCGCTACAGTTTCAATTTAATTACATTCAACAGGACACATAATTCATACTAACGAATGTTTGCCAGCTGTCACTGTTCACACTGAAAATGTGTTCTAAAATGTATAGAGTACTGAGTACATTGTCTACTGCAGATCTTGCTGTCGGAACTTTAATCCCTGTTAATAGAGTAATTATATTTAAGAAAAGAACTGGAGGAAAAGATGCAACGTTGCAGGTGATTCTGCTTTAGAACCTTCAGAAAACTTTAACTCTGACTTTGCTGACTCTATCGACATCAAACGGGTGTAGCTCAGGCATTTTTCATCCGATTCCAACAACATATCATTCTGAAGGTGTTTTAATGGAGAAAGATGTGATCATTGTGACTCATTTTGCCAGTACAGGTCACATATACTGTAGTTGTTTACAGTGTTGGGGGTAACGCATTACAAGTAATGCGAGTTACGTAATCAGATTACTGTATTGACCCGAATATAAGACGACCCTGATTATAAGACGACCCCTCTTTTCCCAGATGTACCTTTTGGAAAAAGGCTTTTTAAAAACCAAATCTTGGCTTATATTCAGGTCAATACGGTACTTTTTCAAGTAACTAGTAAAGTAACGCATTACTTCTTAATTTACAAGAGAATATCTGAGTTACTTTTTCAAATAAGTAACGTAACATTCTACTGTACGGACGTAAATGTACTTTCCCTTCAGCCTGAGGCTTATTCATTTCACTTTTGGTGTGAAAAGGCTTTTATATTTGCCAGAAATAGAACTTTTTTATTTTAAAAGCAAACAAGCAAGCCCTGTCCAGATTTAAAAAGTAATGCAAAAGTAACATTAATGCATTACTTTCCATAAAAAGTAACTAAGTAACGTAATTAGTTACTTTTTTATGGAGTAACGCAATATTGTAATGCATTACTTTTAAAAGTAACTTTCTCCAGCACTGATTGTTTAATGCAGGTGCTTTCCATATGCTTTGACCATTGCAGGAGTGACCACTGTCCTTACCATGACCACCCTGAGTATCAGCGCGAGAAACTCTCTGCCCAAGGTGGCCTATGCTACAGCCATGGACTGGTTCATCGCCGTCTGCTACGCCTTTGTCTTCTCGGCTCTCATTGAGTTTGCCACCGTTAACTACTTCACCAAGAGGGGTTACGCCTGGGATGGGAAAAGTGTGGTGCCAGAAAAGGTAAAGCCACTTCAGCTTTCAATTAAAAGGAAAACTAAATGTTTTATGTCATTAAAGTATTGGTTCATAAAAACGAAAACTGTCATCATTTTCTTACTCTCATGTTATGATATTTTGAAGCTACTGTTTTCCATTCACTGAAAGTCTTTTATTATTATTATTTATAGTATTAATATAGTATATCATAATAATGAGAAAAATCTCAAAACTTAATGTTATAAAATTGAGAGAAAATTATTATTCATTATATATTTTTATGATCTAACATCTCATTGTGTTGACTTTGAAATGATAATGACTTACTATATAGTAATAATGAGTTTATCATAATAAGGATTTAGTATCTTGTAAAAACGATTTTTTTTCATAATAATTAATTTTCTTCTAATATTTACTTAATGTAAGCAACAGACTGGGTGACATTCGGTTACACTAGCAGTTGTTTTCATTAAAATATAATTTATAATCTATATTCTACATTCATTCTAATTTATTTATTTATTTGTTATTTCTGATCAACTGTATGGTATACTAAGGTAACCTCGAAATGTTAGGCTTGTAAAATCACTTCAGATTTGCTGTCTCAAGCCAACATCAACGTTTGTCTTAAACATTTTTTTTATCTAGTTATGAGCTGTGTTGGGCAAGTTACTCTAAAACAGTAATTAATTACTAGTTACTAATTACATCTCCAACAGTGTAATTCGATAACTGTACTCTCTTTATAAAGTATTGCATTACTTACTACTAATTACTTTCTAAATCCCATATCAGCCTCGATCAGCTGAGCATTACAAGGATAGACATGAAACTGCTCTTTTAATTCTTTCAAATTAATATTATAAACCTGCGTAAATTACTCTTCAACTCACCAAGTATTTAAAGGGAGAAGGTTACATTAAAAATATACATTTTAACATTAGATGATACATTTTGATGTTAAATCCACTATTGCTTTATATAAGAATTGTTCTAAAGTCTATACAGTATTTAATGAAGTTACAGCAGAAGTACCTAATTAAATTACAGTAAAATTAAGAGTAATCCCTTACTTTTTACTCAGGTTTTTATCAGGTTTAACAGCAGTGGCCTCAAACATACAGCATTTGTTTCTTATGCATCTCACGACTAATTGCAACGTAACATGTTTAAACTAGTGCTGTCAAGCGATTAATCGCATCCAAAATAAAAGTTTTTGTATGTGTGTGCACTGTGTATATTTATTACGTATATGTGAATACACACACATGCATGTATATATTTTTTTTTTTAAATTATGTTTATATATTAAATGTATTTATATCTAATATAAATTATCTGAATATAAATATATACATGTAAATATTTTCAAAATAGATACTGTATACATGCATAATAAATATACACAGTACACACACATATATTATGTAAACAAAAACTTTTATTTTGGATGCGATTAATCGCGATTAATCGTTTGAAACCACATTATAAATCATTCTTTATTTAAAATCCTATAAATCCAAAGAAGAAACGGCAAATACTGACAAAAATGTCATCTGTTCTTTACATAAAATCACTGTACGACTTCAAAATACTTGGAATATTGTGTACAATAATAGAGCGCTGCAGCCGTGGCGTCAAAACCTGAAAAGTCATTTGCCGTGGATTCCCTTGAGATTTTCCTATGGGTTTTTATAATGGGGTTTTGCAATTTATGAGCAAAATAACGTCTGTGGTAAACATCGGTCGACGATACTTGGACGGTTTGCTCTACACGGTAAATTACACACCCATACTGAAAACACAAATCGTGAAGCAGTTCGTTTTTGGAAACATATGTTTCTAATAAGTCACTAGATAAGGGTGTGAGTGTGTGCAGTTTATGTTGCAGAACAGAACGTCCAAGTATCGTCAAGTTATGTTTACCGCAGACCTTACTTTGCTCATAAACTGAAAAAAAAACATTATAAAACCCCATGGGAGAATCTTGAGGGAAATAAATATGTGACCCTGGACCACAAATCCAGTCAAAAGGATATTGAGATGTATGCATCATCTGAACGCTGAATTAATAAGCTTTCCATTGGTGTATGCTTTGTTAGGATAGAATATTTGGCTGAGATACAACTATTTGAAAATCTGGAATCTGAGGGTGCAAAAAAATCTAAATATTGAGAAAATCATCTTTAAAGTTGTTCAAATGAAGTTCTTAGCAATGCATATTACTAATCAAACATTAAGTTTTGATATATTTACGGTAGGAAGTTTACAAAATATCTTCATGGAACATGATCTTTACTTAATATCCTAATGATTTTTGGCATAAAAGAGAAATGTATAATTGTGACCCATACAATGTATTGTTGGCTATTGCTACAAATATCCCCCAGCGACTCAACACTGCTTTTGTGCTGCAGGGACACATAATACAGGGCGCCCTGCAGCCACACTAATTCCATCTCCTCTTTTTGTTTTTCTTTCTTATGTTTCTAAACAATAACAACAAAAAAGTGAAACAAAAAATTTGTCTCAAATTTGTTTCAATGATAGTCAAGCTCCCACTTTCAAGTTTGTGTCGACATGTGTAACATACTGTATCTTCCTATATGATAACGAGAGCGACTGTATGATGTACAAACCAATGCACTGGAAGGGAACTCATACTTACTATATATACAAACAGACCTGAGAAAATGCTATTCTGCAAATGCACATAGAATTATAGTTTAATACTCCCTTCCTTATGGAATAGTTAACCCAAAAACAAAGAAGAAAAATGATTCTGTCATTAAATACTCTCCCTCGTGTTGTTCCAATCCTGTATGCTCTTGAAGAACACAAAAGGAGACACTTTGCTCTTCTCGTTACGATAGCAGTTTAGCGGCCATAAAAACCAACAACGAGCACCATAAACGTAAAAGTAAAAAGTCCTGTTCCTCACATGAAACTACCACATAGTAATATAGTTGATGTATGCAGTATTTTTATGGCGCTTTTTAATTTTTTTGTCCTTTTTGGACATATGTGCTGACTATGTTGTTGTATGTGTAAACATTTTGTGTTCCAGAAAAAAAGAAAACACACACAAACAGCCGACAGGTTTAAAACAACATGAGGGTGAAGTAAAAAAAAACAGGGTGAACTATTCTTTTAAGATTCTTTTAACATAAAATATGTTTTTGCATTACATTAGCAATGCACATGGAATACGTTTGCATGGGTGACGCTTTCTATACCCCGTTAACAGCTTGATTTAACCAGTCATGTGTTCCTCTGTCTTCTCTCTTCAGCCTGTGTTCTGGAGCTTCTGTTATTTGACCTTAGGGTTCCATTAACAGCAATAAAACATGTCTCAGTGGGGGAAAAAACAATCATTTACTCATGGATATAAAAAGTGTAGAGAAAAGATTCATGTGTATATCATAAAGCATACTATTTATTTTCTTCTCATGTAAATATTATAAAATCTTGGAGATGTCAATATCAATTTTGAGCTTTGCTAAATGTAACTACAAGGTACAAACTCAGTGCTTGACAGAGAGCGAGCGAGTGCATTGTATTTCGATTTGCGCAGATTATTGAGGATATTCGGGTATATGAATATTTATTTATTTATCTTTTATCATTTTTTTTCTAGATCTACTAGACATTAGTTTCGATGTACCTTTTGATGATTAAGTGTGTGCCGGATACGTATAAATGAAAACTATTATAAAGAGGGACTAAACTAGATAGACTGTCTTGGTGTCGGAATGCAATTTTATATTTAGCATTAAATTACTCTTCAGTCTTTATTTTGGTAGATGCTTTTTGAGAGAAATTGTGGCGGGCGCTCACGGGATCTAGATATGATGGCACTAGAGTTATCACTTCTGTGCTGCATCACTTTAAAGTGAACGAGTCAGAACGGATCAAGAGTAGTGCCTTGTATATATTTGCAAGTTTAGAGTGTACTTTCTTAGAAGGTGCTCTCCTTGTTTCTTTGAATTAGATGGGCAACCTTTCAAAAACATCACTGAAGTATCAGATACACTGCCTTTTGTCTCACAGCCCATGGTGAACATATATTCCATTACAGACGTGTTTGTCACTGCTCGTTAATGAAAACTAAAAGAAGACATGTCTAGCTATTAGCCATGTATGTGAATACACTGTTCTACATATAAATATGTCTTGTAGTGCTATTACAATGCCAACATTTTTTATGTTTGTGGCATGTCAGTTGCTCCTCAAGCACCTATTGAAAAGAAACCAAACTTATAAAGAGTATCCTCTCTATTTTTGGACTGAGAGAAAAAAGAAAACAAAAGTTCTCTTAAATGAGGAACTTTTACATATGATCATACTTTACTTTGATGTAGCAATATAGATTAGTAAGGGCTTTTTTGTGATCGAAGTGATAAAAGGCACAGCATTATGATCAATTTGAGTTGCTATTGTTGGTATGTTTATAAACGCCTGAAATATAAGAAGCTCTTATAAGTTGGCGGCGCTCCTATGTTTTGTCAGTTTGGTTACTTTCCGTGTTTAAAAAGCACTTTTTTATTTCTTTTTCAAAATAATGAATACACAAAATTTTGAAACGGGCGTTTTTGGGGTATGCCAATGGATCAGGATATTTCCATCAGATTATCTAAACTACATGATGCATATAAATGTCATGTTACCCCTCTTTAATTTAGAGCTTTTAGACAGTATCTAGGAGTTTGCTGAGTTTGTGCCAGATTACTCTGGGATATGTGTGAAAACAGTATGCAAATGCACAGTCATGGATTCCTTTAGAGCCAGACTTTTGTCAATGCGATAAAATTATGAGTTCAATGTATGTATGTATGTATATATATATATATATACACACACACACACACACACACAGATTTTCCATGATGATACTTGTTCTAAAGATGCAACATTTTATTTGTACCAACCTCTTGTTATGCATTTTGCACATTATAGGCATATTTGATATTTATGTAGTCAGCTTTGTGCTATGCAAAGATAACTTTGAACCATATTAATTAGCTTCACACCCCTCCTTCACTGTCGTTTCCAATATATATTGTAAAAAGTCTGTTACGAACTGTGCACCCTATTTAGCTGTGGGACTGTTTGTCATTCTGAAAGCATGTAAAGATCTGGAATAATCCATTTTAAAGACAGGGTAATGGCAATGGCAATAAAAAAACAAGGATTGAAAAGAATATTTCAGTTAGTGTATTGTATTATTTACACAACAAACAATAGATATATTTAGATTTGTTTCGTTGCATCTAATAATATATTTTTGATGACCTGTGTTATGGATTAAGAACTTGTAATTTTATTTGTTTTATGGGAGATTATAGCATTTCATATGCATACCAGATTGTGAAAGTGGTTTAATTTTTGATTTTGCAATGTACTGAAGAAATCCAACACGCACTGTAATTAAAAAACTACATTTGTGCTTGACAAAATTTGAAGTAACAACTATGTTACATGTGCATAAATGGTCAGCAATGTGCACAAGTCCAGAGGCAAAGTCTGATTTATTCTGTACTGTACACTGGGACATCGTCTTTGTAAAGGTTTGCTTTCTTAAATGTTATGGCCCTGTAGAATTTGATTATCTTCATTAGTCATACAATAAAAGAAAAATGAAATCTATCACGTTTGGTCATTTTTGTTGCTTTAATTTGCTTGATGCATATTTTTGCCTTGTTTTCCAACCCTGATTCCCTGAGTAGGGAACGAGATGCTGCGTTCTGCCACAGCCCTTCATTAGACATTCCCTTTCATGAGTTCACGCTTGGATGCAAACATTGTCAGCATGATTTGCAGCATGGTCGGTGCATTGTGAAACTTGTGCAAGAAGTGAAATGTCCTCTGTGCTTCCGTGTCACTTCTCTGTGCTTACTTTGTCACGTTCACTTTGTTTAGTTTTTGAAGCGTCAGCTTTGGAAGTCCTGTACACTTGCATTATAGGGACTCACAGAAGTGGATTATGTTTATGTTTACCTCATAATTAAAGGGGTCATGATATGCATTTTCAGATCTTATGAAGTTAGTAGTTTTTTGTAACAAAAAAATTCTAATATTTGTAAAATAATTGTCCTTCCTTATATTTTCAATCTGTCAAAAACACTTCATTTAAGAAGGAATTAACTACTTCATCGCACTGTATCAATGCTCTTCTTTACAGCCATAAATAACAATAAAGGTGATTTGATTTGAGCATGTGTGACTTGATATGATATGAAACGTTTTGAACCTGAGTCAGAATAAAATGATAATAAAACTAACAACATAATAAAACTAACACAACTGCAACGATTGCCTCCAAAGATAAAATACTCAGCACTGCTGTATCTTTCAATACAAGATATTTCGAAAAAAAATGGCATCATGTTGAGAATAGTTAAAGGAATCTGTTGTGAAATGAGACAAACAAATATGTGACCCTGGACCACAAAACCAGTCTTAAGTTCTTAAGCAATAGCCAAAAACACATCAAAATTATAGATTTTTCTTTTATGCCAAAAATCATTAGGATATTAAGTAAAGATCATGTTCCATGAAATAATTTGTCAATTTCCTACCATAAATATATCAAAACTTCATTTTTGATTAGTAATATGTATTGCTAAGAACTTCATTTGAACAACTTTAAAGATGATTTTCTCAATATTTAGATTTTTTTGCACCCTCAGATTCCAGATTTTCAAATAGTTGTATCTCAGCCAAATATTGTCCTACGATATATTGTCCTTCAGATGATGTATAAATCTCAATTTCGAAAAATTAAGACTGGTTTTGTGGTCCAGGGTCACATATTTAAAAAAAAATCTTGTTTAATCGCTCAGGCACGTCATGAAAAAAACTTCAGCCATGCATTTCTAATAGTTGATGGATATGCAGAGTTTTTGGATGTGCACTTCGTCTGCATTCAGGGACGGAACAACGTCTGACGGTCTTACCAGCCAGCTTGATTTACATACACATAAGGAGCATGCCTACTTAAATCTATATATATATATATATATGATATTTAAACTAAATTCAAAGTCAAAATTCTCATTCTTTCTTATAGAGTTGATTGATTGTGTTTATCCCTAAATGTTACTTAATGCATTAACTATCACACATATACTAACGTATTTAAGGCTGTCGTTATTCATGCACGAGTTCAAATGACTTCAGAAGAATAGCTTTTATTGATTCATGATTAGTTCCTGCCTTCCCTAATCATTAGTTCATGTTATTTTAAGTATCAGTGCATGATTATTCATGTACAGTCATTGTAAAGCCTTACCAGATGTTTTCACTGGAAAGCAAGATTAAAAGAAAGATTAAAAGAAAGTTCGCCTAGTATAGAGTTGTCAATCCCAAACTGTCTAAAGGTCCGATATTTAAACTAAATTCAAAGTCAAAATTCTCATTCTTTCTTATAGAGTTGATTGATTGTGTTTATCCCTAAACGTTACTTAATGCATATCACACATATACTAACGTATTTAAGGCTGTCGTTATTCATGCACGAGTTCAAATGACTTCAGAAGAATAGCTTTTATTGATTCATGATTAGTTCCTGCCTTCCCTAATCATTAGTTCATGTTATTTTAAGTATCAGTGCATGATTATTCATGTACAGTCATTGTAAAGCCTTACCAGATGTTTTCACTGGAAAGCAAGATTAAAAGAAAGATTAAAAGAAAGTTCGCCTAGTATAGAGTTGTCAATCCCAAACTGTCTAAAGGTCCTTTATTCTCAGTACTTACAGTTCTCTCTCTGTTATCTTCAGGGCACAGGCGATTGTAGTGTACTCTGTGAATAAGTTAATTTCAGCAAACCTTTTTTTTATGGTGATGAAGTGTTAATTGGTTGAGACCCATAGACGAGGCCTGTGGATGTGCTGTGCTCACTCTCCAAGCCCTCACCTCAGGTGAAGCACAGCTTGTGCTTTCTCCAGAGCAGCTGAGGCATGCTTGAAGACGGTTACATAACCACGGTGCTCCTTTAGTCAAGCACTCCTGTGCCCACCTCATCTTCTCCAACCCTCCCAGACGTCCTTGCTCATGATGCGAGAGGAATCAGAGGAGAGCTGGGAGTCTGAGGGACCGTTATTACTCAGACTCCACTATTACACAAATTACAAACAGTGTAATAAAGTTAGTTAATGATAAGAACCTAATGAGAAGAAAATGCTGGTATTTAGGGTGCTTATCAGAGCAGGTAATGTTCTCTTTAAATGCTGGTCTGAGGTCAGGTTTGTGGTTTCTCATAAAATGATTACGGCTTAATAGCTTGATAGTGTTATACATTTTTTTATAATTTCAATTCCCCCCAGAGGTCTGCTTATAATTTCCCAAAGTGGGCCTGTCCCTGAATCAAACGGGCCATTTTAAGAAATGTACAGATTTTAAATCTGTATTTAAGCTCAGAACGATCTCAAAGTAAACGAGCAGCTAAAGTCTGATTTTGTGGTGACTGTGCTTTAAAATTATTTTTTTATAATCTCAATTCAAGTGATGAAGGATTTTGAAAGTCTGAGAGTAATCAGTCCCAGAGTTGTTTGAAAATGATTAACAGTTGAAAACATCAGTTAGATATAATAAAAAAAAAGTAATCAAATGTAATCAGTTACATTACATCAATAAAGTAACTGAAATAGTCACACTACTTATTACATCTTAAATATGGTAACTTGTAATCTGTAACCTATTACATTTCCAAATTAACCTTCCCAACACTGTTAATAGTGCACTGAATCACTGTATGCTCCTCTTTCCTCACTTGTGTTAAACGGGTATTACAGTTCTAATATGTATAGATATTGATTTTAAATCTGTATTTAAACTCTCAGAACGATCTCAAAGTAAAACGAGCTGCTAAAGTCTGATTTTGTGGTGACTGTGCTTTAAAATTAAAACATTTTCCAGTAAGGTTAATAGAATGTTTATCCAAAGTTATCTGTTATTTAATAACCTTCCTAAAATGCAAATGTAATAATTTTTCTGAAATGTTTTAGTTGGACATTCATCTGATATTATTATTATTATTATTATTATTATTATTATTATTATTAACCTATTACATTTCCAAATTAACCTTCCCAACACTGGTGTCTTCTAGTGTTTCCAAATCAAATGTTCCAATTTTAAAATGTTTTTAAAACATTTTCCAGTAAGGTTAATAGAATGTTTATCCAAAGTTATCTGTTATTTAATAACCTTCCTAAAATGCAAATGTAATATTTTTTCTGAAATGTTTTAGTTGGACATTCATCTAATATCATTATTATTAATATTATGCTATACTACTTGTTTAGTGAACATTCAAAAGTAACATTCCCATAACGTCTGCAAAATGAGAAAATGGAATGTTCATATAACCAAGAAAAAAATTTTTTTTTTAAAACAATAAAAAATACTTATACAGGCAACCGTCAGAAACAACATTTTGAGAACTAGTAATAGTAACATTAGCAAAACGTTCTTCAAACACATTTTTGTTAATACGTTGCAAGTTACTAAATTCCCCCTTACTTCACACTGCACTTCGCACGATTAGACATTCAATAAAAATGTGAAAAACACAATTATTTGTGTTTTATTTATCTGTAGTTGTGAGTTAAATAAAGACCAGGACGCATTTTATGACTAATCAGTACAGAAATCCAGATATTTTCAAAGTATTCACAAATGTATCATTCCCACTGTATGTTATTTACAAGTATGCTATATACGTGGCATAATTAGTGTATAAAATATCCTGTGTACGGTTTTATGCATATTTGTATATTAAATTGTACACATCTATGTATAGCCAAGCCTGTCAATATACGTTGATATTAAATTTGTAAATATAAAAGTTAGACATATTAAAGTTTTATAAGAAAGGAGGAAATGAGAAGGCTCTGAGAGGAGTGGTGGTGTCATGGAGTGGTGTAAGATGTGAAATTATCACCCTCGATCCCCAGCAGTATGTCATATATTACATTTTCAATGGAAAGTTGAAGTGCTGGAGATTGACCGAAGCATATTCTTGGTCTGGATACCCTTCATAACAAGAATAACATATTTGTTATATCTTAAGGCTGAAATTGGTTATTTGACATTTCAGTGCTTTAATGCAATGCTTTATGTTTTTATACTACTTGTTTAGTGAACATTCAAAAGTAACATTCCCATAACGTCTGCAAAATGATAAAATGGAATGTTCATATAACCAAGAAAAAAAAACATTTTTAAAACAATAAAAAATACTTATACAGGCAACCGTCAGAAATAACATTTTGAGAACTTAATAATAACGTTAGCAAAACGTTCTTCAAACACATTTTTGTTAACAGGTTGCAAGTTACTAAATTCCCCCTTACTTCACACTGCACTTCGCATGATTAATCAATGCATTCAATAAAAATTTGAAAAATACAATTATTTGTGTTTTATTTATCTGTAGTTGTGAGTTAAATAAAGACCAGGATGCATTTTATGACTAATCAGTACAGAAATCCAGATATTTTCAAAGTATTCACAAATGTATCATTCCCACTGTATGTTATTTACAAGTATGCTATATACGTGGCATAATTAGTGTATAAAATATCCTGTGTATGGTTTTATGCATATTTGTATATTAAATTGTACACATCTATGTATAGTTTGTATATATAACCCAACATGAGTCCGAGACAAATGTCTCTTTGTGGATGAACAGCAGGGCTGCACTGATCCATCAACTAGACTAAGTTTATACTGGTTTCCATGTTGGTCTAAGCAGGTCTTCTTAATAGGGCTGTTGGGCACATCCCCTTTCCTAACCTTAAAGTCAAAACCTTAGTGAGTCAGTGTGTCTCTTCACACGTTTTTAATTCAGTCACTTCACATTTTCTGCAACTAGACACTGAAGCAACAGTGAAAGAGTCAGCAGCGAATGAAAAGCAACCAATTGGAATCTTTATCACGTTAGCAAAATTGAATTTCATTCCATTTGTACCTTTGACTTTGCTTTGAAAGTGCGTGCTACAGTCGCCAGGTTTGCAGGGAGAATGCAGATGACTGACTGAGAGGAGCAGTGAGACAAACAGAAAAAAAGAAGGGGGGAGAGAGAGACAGATTTTTGGTTCCCTCACACATTTTTGAAGCAGCCTGTAATCATAAATATGGAAATTCTGCATTTACCCACTCTTTCTGAGTGCCCTTTGTATAAAAAAAGGGGGGGGGGGGGCATGAGCAATGGGCAGGGCTGACAAACAACCTTCGTACATTCACAAAAAAAGCACCAGCTGGTAATTGAATGAATTATCATTACTATCTATCAATAACTAATTAAAATGCACAAATTCATGTCATTTCGGATTTACAATGTAATCCACACATACATGCCAAAACAAGTTTTTTTGTAGTTTTGTATTCTGCTTCAAAAATGTACAGAAATATACTTTTGCGACACCTTTTGATACTGTTTATGTGATTTTTATTTAGAAATATAACGGGTCTGATCTGTTATCACATCTGCTATCTCCACATTTTCATTGACATCCATCATTTTGAGAGATAAAATGCAAGACAGAAAAACCATTTCAATTAGCTATTTTCCTATTTTTAAAAATCAAATAATAAATAATATATTATGAAATCTGAATATATTCTTATTATTCCAAGTATATGACATTTTATTTACAGCAGACGATCATGCGACTGGCAATGTGAGCAGCGCGTTCCCCGGGTTCGTAGGGTCACAAAAATATGTTTGTAGTTGCCAGTGTACAACTGTGAAATGCTTTGTTTAGACTCTGGCCGTGCAATGTTTTTACTTTTCCTACTGTTTTCATGTTAATGATTGTTTGTTCATGTGGCATTCAAAGTATTGACAGTTCTTCCGTATTGTCATGTACATCTGAGTGAAATGTACAAATGTAGGGCAGAACCTCAAACTAGGTCGATCTGAATGTGATCTTGCAGTCATTGTAAGGAATGGGTGGGGTTAAGCATAATTAAGACTATAATAATTAAAGAATTCTGGCATACGCCACCCGAGAGAAGTCTGTTGCTTTATCAGAAGGTTATGGCATTTTGATTTTAATATTGTGAAAAAATGGAACAAAACATGCATGGATGAATCGTTCACCAGGCCTCGCAAAAAGCTCGCTGGCGTATCTATGATGATCTTGCTAGTCGTTTAGATTGTTTAGTTAATTGTTCTCACCTGTTTACCTCACTATTTATTGTGCTTCCATTTCTCCTGTTTTTGCCAGATTGTTTTGTGCTGGAGGCTCCTAGCTTTTCACTTCTGTTCTTCAGCCATGTCCGGTCTTGCTTTGTTCTGTTCTGTTTCTCTCGTTTTGGTCCAGCTCGAGGTCGTTCCTGTAAGTGCCTCTTCCACTGCACACTGCCAAACATGATACTAAATATGGCCTACGTAGCTTTCCTGAAAGCTCAGTGCCTTTTAGACAACACTCAGTGACCGTCAGCATGAGATTGCACATCTTTAATACGTCAAGAATGGCGAGGACATGAGAATGCACTCATGTTTAGAGACATCCGTTCAGAGTGTTAGAGAGGCACTGTTCTCTCAAAAGGCTGTCTGGAAAAATCATGCATGTGTGTGTGATGCTTATTTAAATTTTATATTTTTAGCTTAGATTCTGCCATGGTTGAAACTTTTTTCAGTCATGCTCTGGACATTGGATAATATACAAGTAAATAAACTCTCAGAATTGCACAATGAGAACAAGACTTTGCAAATATAGTGAGAAAGTCCGGGTCTCTTTTCCCCAAATGTTCAGTTTGGCCAAATTATGGAGGCCTCTGTGCTCTTGGGAATATTGTTTTTGAGGCCTAGCCCAGATCTGTGCTTTGACAGTATTTCTGAGCTTTGTACACAGTTCTTTTTACCTCATGGTTGTTTTCTCTGATATGCATTTTCATCTGTTAGAATTTACATAAAGACATGTGCTTTTTCAAATCATGTCCAAGCAATTGAAA